AGAGAGAGAGAGAGAGAGAGAGAGAGAGAGAATAGTTCCAATTTAGTGCAACAAATGACATTCGATTCTTCCGAAAGTGACAGATGATGTTTACATTTTGATAAATCAGCGAAAAACAAAACACACCACACAACATTCCGTGGCAACCTGTACTAAATTTCTTATCAAGTATAGCAGCCTTGTCGTTCCTTTGTGTTTTAGTTTAGTTTAGTTATGTTTAGTTATTTAGTTATTTATTTTAGTTTAGTTGTGTTTAGTTTTGTGTTCCTTTGTGCTTTAGTCTTATGTAATTGTTTCTAAATCACCTTGTTTGTAGTTGTCGTCCCTTCCAGCACTCAGAGCGGGACCTCGAATCACTGTTAATGAGGGAACGGCCAAACCAGCAATTTAACCGCATTCAGAGAGGGTCTCAGACTACTTCGATTAATACATTTATTACATGTTTTGTCAATTCAAACCTTTACCTATAACGTGAGCATCGGTAGACTCACGTTAAAGCACTATCACATGTGGTGTAATAAAGTGAAATTGTTGATAACAGTTTCGTTAATAAAATATTCTATAAATGCTCGTTCCAGGGACATTTAAAGACCGGTATTACGCGTACTGCATCCATACCCAATTATTCACGGTTAGGCGTACGGCACACATGCACACGAGTATATATACGTCATTTCCGGGTTATAAGTACAAATCTAACCTAACGTAACTGAGAGCGGTATTCTCTCCTGTCGAGACACCGCCATCTTGCTCGCTCCACCACGCATGCGCAGACCAGTCGGGGGGCTTTCCTGCCGTTCTTGCAGTCACTTCCTCCTTTTTCAAAATCGCGTTTGAATTCCCCGATGAGACTCCGAAGAAACTATTACCGCGGGGTCGTTTTCTCCCTCGCTGGCTGGCGGACGACTCCCTCCTCCTGCACCAGACCGTTCCTGAAGGATCTCCGAAGGACCTTCTTCCCGAGCGACTGACGTATGAGCCGTCGGTAGGGTGCGTGGCAGTCTGGGCCCAGCCCCGTGAACCTCCGCGACGCCGGTTTCGTTCTCAGGTTCTCTCGAAGTCGCCGGCGTCGGAGCGTTGTTGTCCAGCTCACTCCCACGGTCTCGCGAGGACGCCGCTGCCTCTGCTGTGCTGTCTGCGGGTCTCACGTCCTCGCGCAGGATCTCCTCAACGGTCGAAGATGAAGGAACCTCGGTGTGGAGAACAGGAGTCAGATTTGAAGTTTTTTAAGAGAGAGAAGAGAAAAATCAATTTAAATAGGTAGATGGTAGACAGACATAAATATAAAGACATACTACGGCATGTAAATACATATACTTTTAAGTTAAATGGCAAATCAATGAACAAATAAGTATAGAAACAAAACTAGAAACATAAAATGAGAATATATGCAAAATGTAAATAGACTGATAAATGCATACACAAATAAACAAACAGACAGTTAAATACCTTGGCACACAAATACAACAAAAGAGGCCCAGACAAGCAAAAAAAAAAAAAAAAAAAAAAAAAAAAAAAAAAAAAAAAGAGAGAGAGAGAGTGAAAGAGAAAAAATAGAATACATAAACACTCAAAGAGAGAGAGAGAGAGAGAAAAAAATAAATAAAAAATACACATTCAATTCGTACCATAGCCAGCGCATCCTGGTAGGACGGTAAATTGCCAACCACCTCATCATACACTGGGGGAGAGTCCTCGGGTCTGGTCTGAGACTGGAAATGGGAGGAATTAGAAAAGACAAGGAATTAGAAAAGAGAAGAGAGAGGGCGAGACAGAGAGATAGAGGAGAAAAGAGGGGGAGAGAAATGCACAACTAAATAAACACAGACGAGCAAAGGCACCGATAAATCCAGATAACATAAACAGAGATGAGAGAGACACGCAAAAAAGATAACAGTTCTGACAGGCTTTCTAAGAAGTGTTTCATTCGGTAAATTTAATGTGGGTATTAATGTAATTGTTTTCAGTGCTTCATGTTTTGGGTGAAACTAGGGAGCACATTTGTATGTCTTTTGTCTGAAATAATTGTTGTATGATTATTTTTGGGTGTAGGTGTTTGGTAATGTAATTATGGTCAATATAATTTTTCTTCGTAATGTAATTATTATCACCGTTGTTAACCTTACAATATTTTTTTTATCATTACTATTATTACTATTATAGTCAAAGTTCAATTTCTTATTTCTCTCATAATCATTTCTATCATCCTTATTCTCATTATTACTATCATCATCGCCACGATCTCTATCACAGCAACGCACAGTCATCGTCGTCCTTGCACCCACCTCACTCTCCGCCCTTCCTCCTCGCCGTTGCCTCGCCAGCTCTCTCAGGTCTCGAAGTCGACGCCTATATAAAAAGAAAAAAAGAAAAAAGAAAAAAAAGAAAGAAAGAAAGAAAGAAAGAAAAAA